CACACACACACACACACACACACACACACACACACACACACACACACCAGAATTCTCCTTACAGCTGAGTTAACAGAGGCAAGTCAGCTGGGTTCACACAGCTAGGAGGATAGATGGCGGGGCTGGGTTTGAAATCAGGCCTGACTGCACATGGGACAGGGTGAGCTCTCCAAAGCAGGCTTTGTGAACTCAACGGGCATACTGTTTGGGGACCTCTGAGGCCTGAATTTATTATCGTGTAGTCTTGTGGCAGTGAAAGTTAAAAATAGTTTCAGTCCCACGAGGGACTCCTGTCCATGAGAAGCCTGACCCAGAAAAGCAGATGGCCAGGGAAACTCTGTCTCATGGGCTCAGCAGCTGATTCTTGTACCTTTACTGATTTCTGATTTGTTTGTTTGTTTTCCTGCCTAGCCTCAAGTTATAGGAGTGAAGCAGTCATGCCCACAGCCTGAACTCAAGGTGAAGAGCTTGGAAGACCTCCCCCAAAACAAATCCAACCTGTACAGCAAGGTCTCCACCCACAAGAAAGACCCCAAGTCCAAGGCCAAGTCACAGAATTCAGGTGAGTCTGGCCCAAAGGCCATCTCCCGCCCCTGCTGGCTCTGTTCAGGGGACACTATTGTGGTCCTAGTTTGAGAGCCAAGCTTGTATGGAGTGGATCAGGTGGAGAGGTCTCTAGTTTTTTTTCCTTGGACTCCAGACCCTAGTGATGAAATAAGTCACTACGTCCTCCTATGACAAACAGGACAGTAAAATGGCTGCAGTGTTTAAGGAAAATGAATCGTGGTTTCTAGGCCGGCCATAGAGTTAGTCCAGGCCCTCCCCTGTTCAGGGCACCAAACTGAGGATGGGAAATAACTTGTCCAAATACAGAGATTCTGAATGACCTGGACTTTCTTTTCTTCTTCAGCACTGGACATGAAACCCAAATCCTTGAGTGTGCTTGACATATACCCTACCCCCGAGGCACATGTCCTGCCTGACCCAGACATAGATGACCACGACTATGAAGAAATCTGAGCACTTTCAGAAGAGCACCTACGACTCAGGGAAGCCATACTTCCCCGCTGCTCCCGCACAAAGGACTGGAGCGCTGGCTAACCACTGGGGGACGTAGGGCAGAGCCTCATCTCAAGCGACTTAAGACTCAGACGGGCACAGAACCAACACTATTCCTGCCTCTTTGGTTCCTTGCCTCTGCTTGGTCCCAGAAGGTTGCATGTGACACCCTCTGCCTTAGAGCTTTGGTGTCCAGAGAAGCCATTCAGGTGCTGGTCACTCCCGGGCTCAAAGAATCAAAGGCCGCTAGCTTCGCTGTTACCTGCCTGTCAGTAAAGGGAACTTAGTCCTTGTTGCACCACTACGTGTTTGCCTCCGCCTTTGCTCTGCCACTTCTGCAGTCCAGGCTGCACCTGGAAACAGACAGTACCCTCATATCGGGAGAACCCAGCTCATGGCCAGTACCTGGTAGATGGGCTTGTATGAATAAATATGGAAATTTGCCTCCAAGAACAAAATCTCAGGTAGGATTTAGTTCTCAAAATCTGTTAGTGGAACTAAGACAGCTAAGTTACAAAGATGGAGGGATGGGAGAAGCGGCTCAGTGGTTAAGAGCACTTTGCTGCTCCTGTGAAATAGGATTTCTGGGGCTGGAGAGGTGGTTGAGGGGTTACGAGGGCCCAGGTTCAGTTCCAGATTCAGTTCCCGCCTTGCTGCGCACAGCTGTCATCCAGTTCCTGGGATTCTGAGGCTCTCTTCTGGCTTCCGTGGCCTCTGCATGAGCATGGTGCATATTCATGTAGGCAAAGTGCTCGGACACATAACAAATAACAAAGGATTTGTGAGTGATCAGACGCTTCAGTGTAGGGAAAGGCAGCAGTTTCTTAGCTTGGTGTCTCTTAGCTAAAAGGAAGCAGCTGAGTTTGGATCCACAGCACCCACATAAAAGCCAGGCCTAGCACACACCTGTAACCCCAGCACTGGGAGGTGGGGCCAGAGACAGGCAGATCCCAGGGGCTTGCTGGGCAGCTGGTCTAGCTGAAATAGCAAGTTCTAAGTTCAGTGAGGGACCTTATCTCAACCCTACATGTTTGTTGGAGATACCTGCTGTTAACCCACTGGCTGTTCGTGCCCATGTGGGTCCATGTCCTCAAGCAGCTGAAGTACCTCACACATACACACACACACACACACACACAAAGTATGCTCGGCAACTGCAGCTGACTTTCTCTGGAACAAGCTGGGTGCGGGAAGGACCTTACAGTGGGGCTGGGGGTGCCTCCTGAGCAGTGGCCTTCCAAGGGATGAATGCACACCAGTGAGGGAACAGAAAATAGGTGTCAGCACTTTTTGTTTTGAGACAGTCTCACTGTGCAGCCTTGGTTGACTTGAACTTGCTGTGTAGACCAGGCTGGCCTCAAACTCCAGTGATCCGCCTGCTCTGCCTCCCTAGTGCTGGGACCACAGGTGTTTGTCACTTGTCCTGGCTCATTTCTATTGCATGCTTTATAATGCTAGGTATATTAATAGGGTGAACTTCTGTAAACATTGCTAAACAAAATAGAGTGCGTGCTCAAACATTTTACCAATGTGAGGTTCCTCCTAGCAACCTTCTTCCTCTTAGGTTTATGAAATCAACGGCATTAAAACAAAGCTGTTACCCCACACTAAATATTAGGACTAAATAGTGCCCTTTCTCTGGTTAACCTTTCTTTTTCATGATGAAGTACTAAGTTTTCCTGAGAGCAGGTTGCACTCCTCAGGTGACACTGAGGAGTTTCTCAGAGCATGGGTCATTATTAGTGTTCCCACGCGCGGAGCACCTCGTCCTGGATGCCGAAACACGAGCTCTTCCGCCTTGCAGAGCAGCAGTTCCAGCGGCTGCAGTGTACAGCACTTTTGCCTGTGCTCAGCCTCAGCCTCCCACAGTGGGCCGGAACTGTGTGAACCCTGAGAGCCCCGACAAGGAGTCAAGGCGGTCTGGTACAAGCCTCCTGATGCTAATCTCTCCTGTTGCTAGTACCTAACTAGCTGTTTTGGTATCCAATAGATATTAATACCTTGTGTGGGTGTGTGCAAGCAAATGCAGGTGCCAGGAGGCCAGAGGCATTGGTTTCCCCTAGAACTGGAGTGACAGTTGTGAGCTGCCCTGACATGGGTGTTGAACTCAGGCCATCAGGAAGAGTAGCAGGTACTCATAAGCCCCAGCCATCTCTCTAGTCTCCTCGCCATCTCTTTTTGGAGGAGACAAGGTCTCACTCTGTAGTCCTGGCCGCCTAGAACCTAGTGTGTAGACCAGGTTGGCCTCAGAACTCAAAAGTCCACCTGCCTCTGATTCCTGAAACAAAGTTATTTGAATTTTATGAAGATTCTTTACATAAAACCACAGTTTTGCTTACCTTGTAACTAGAGGAAATCAGGAACCTATGCAAGTAGCCTATCATGCAACCCATACTGGAACATGTTTTTTTCTTGTTCTCAGCTATTTCCTTTGTCTAAGAATGGATACATACTAATAATGTAACTGGTTAGCTGAACCTTACCTACAGGTGGTTCCTCAGAGAGAGCTACTCTGTCTAGCAAACAGCCAGATGTTTAAAAACAGCAATCAGGGCAACGGCTCATTTAGAAGCAAGCTATTCTTATTTGCACGTTCCACATTATGAACTTTAACCCTTAGTTAGTTTTCATTCAAGACATCTACCTTTGATGCCTGTGAGCTTATTTCCTTTACTACAAAAACAGCATCTGTGAAGTCTCTGGGTAGATGGCCAACTCAGGTGCATGATCACATACTGTCAGCACCAACATGAAAGGCCCCATTCTTCTTTTTGATCTTTCAAGACAGGGTTTCTCTGTGTAGCCTTAGCTGTCCTGACCTTCCTTTGTAGAGCAGGCTGACCTGAAACTCAGAGATCCACCTGCCTCTGCTTCCCTGAGGGCCGGGATTACAGGCGTGTACCTGGTATGGAGGCCGGTACCTGAACCAGCCTTTTGGGTGGCAGACAAATGCTCCATTACTGTGAGCTATAACCCCAGGCCGAGGTCTATTCAGAATCCTTTACGGCAATGCCACATGCTTTGTGCAATTACAACAAAGCCCTGAAGGAAATAAGCGAAGCCTGATGACCCGAGTTGGATCCCTGGAATACACTGATGGCAGATGACTGACTTACAGTGTAGAAAGAGAAACAGACTCCAGCAAGTTGTCCTGACTTCCAAACGCTCACACAGTGTGAAAAGTAAGACCAAGAACATCTCAGAAGTTACAATTCAACTGTTTTATTAAACATATGGATATTTATATTACAAACAATTCGGTAACATTTCTTCCTCTCCGCCCTGTGAGACCACACCAGAACCTCATGCGCACTTAAACCTACTCTCAGCTGCAAGCAAAACAAGGGGAAGGAAAAGTGCAATTTCGAAAGTAACACCACAGACCGAGAATGGGAAACAAAACAGGCAGAAGGTAGTGGGTTGTTTTGGCCCTAATATTGTCCATCACCTCAACAGGAAGCGGGAGGAGGCAGCTCTGCCCTGCTCTCTCAGTGGTGTTCCTCTTTTAACTCTGACCATCCAACCTGGGGTCTCTGACTAACTTCCCCCGGAATCTCTGATCTGAAATCCCACCCTGGTTTACTTCCTTCTCAACTATCTCCTTTTGAACCTCTAAACAACAACAAAACAACAGCAGTGAGTTTCAAGAGGATTCAGCTAAGATTTTCTATATGAAACTTCTGTCCTAGAAGCCACTGGCCAAAACCTGCAGAGCTGGAGACGACAGGTGATACACACAGGTCCAGCTGGAAAAGTTTCAGGACCCAACGAGATCCAGTTACTCTGCATCTGTAGACTTAAAGTGATCATCATCCACAGTAGAATAAATATGTCCCTCGTTGCACAGAAAATCCACTGCTTGCCTAGAGAGGAAAAAAAGGGGGGGGGGAGGGATGGGGACAGTGTCTTTTAAATATAGCCAAGTAAGCAAACACCGCTCATTTCTGCACTTCTTATCCTAGCCATGAAATATTCAGTCATTTTGTCAATTGAAGTCTCTTACAGAGAAATGCCAACAAAACCTAAGGATTGAGTTATTCATGCAGACCAGGGCTGCTTTGGATCCTGACCTCAAATTTCAAAAGAACAGGGCCTTACTTAAAGTGCCAATCTAAGCCAGGCCTGGCAGCACACGCCTGTAATACCAGTACTCAGGATACTCAGGAGGCAGAGGCAGTTGGATTTCTGTGAGTTCAAGGCCAGCCTGGTAACAGAGTTCCAGGACAAACAAGACTACACAGAGAAAGCCTGTCTTGAAAAAACAAAAGACGTAAGAATCTGACACCACAATCAACTTGCACATGAAATCCCTACTGTATACAGGAATCTTAAGTCTCTCTTCCCTGGATTCAGGCCCCAGAATCACATCCTGAAATGCTTTCTGCTCTGCTTGTGGGCAGTAGAGCAGCAAGAAGGGAAAGTGTGACTCCTTCAAATCCTTAGGTCCTCAGAGGCAGTAACATGTTTAGTAACAGCTTGAATTTACCCAATGATATGTACCTCACCACCAGTAAGCTGGGCATTATCTACCACCATTTTATAGCACAGGAATGGGAAGCTGACCTGGGCATTTCTTTTCTATTTAGGCCTACAACTACTCAATGTTTTTCGTTTTGTTTTGTTTGAGACACGATCTCTTTATACATAGTGGTTCGGGAACTTGCTATGTCAACCAGACTGGCCTTGACTTACAGTATCATGAGTACCATCTACTTATACAGTTCATCTCAGTTCACTGCAATGAAATCAGAAGTCTGTTGCCTAAAACAGAATCATATCATAGATGTAAGAAGGCCCCATGCCTTCAGAGCCTGAACAGAGCAGCAAGTGGAGCAAGAGCGCCAGCTTTTGAACTGTCTCCACAGCTGGTCAACTTCCCTCTAAGTGGGCTGCACCCAACAACTTTTTTCTTTTGTGTGGGTTTCATGCAGTCCTGGGTGGCTCTCAATTCCTGATCCTCCTCCTGCTTCTACCTTTCAAGTGCTGAGATTACAAACAGGAACTACCAAACTCAGATCCAGCTTTCCCTTTTACACTCACTGCTCACTTTGAGGAGACTGTGGACAGATTGCTGAAGTCTAGACCTCTAGGCCACTTACTTGACTGAGGCGACAGGCATGTGCTGGAGCTGGCTCCTGAGGTCCTGAAAGTTTAATCCTTCTGGTCTTGGGCAAGCCTTGATCAAATTCAGTACCTGACAGTTCAAATCATAAAGACTTTAGGAACTACTCTGGATCAGTTTACTTATGAGAACTTTATAAGCAAAAGGAGGGGCTGGAAAGAAGGCTCAGGAGGAGCACATGC